GGCTCGGCCGTCTTGACGTTGGCGGCGTCAAGTCGCGTCGGCTTGGAGGTTCAGTTTCTCTGCTTCTCTTCCCCAGTCGGTCTCGGGGCGAGTCGGGGTTTGAAATCCCGAACATGAAGATTTCTTTGTCCCATTGCATCTGGAGTCTCTTAACATTTGATCCACCTTTGTCCCCTTCGTCATCGTCGGGAATTTCGTGTAGCCTCTATCTTCCCTTGGCGTCACCGGTCTTGGTGAATTTTCTAACTTGGGGGTTGCCAATGAGCCTCATCAGAGCCGACAATAGACTGATGCACTCGTCGGTGTCATGGTCTTGCGATCGATGGTAGTCGCAATATCGTCCCTTGTCCAACTAGTTTTCTAGAGTTTTCACCGGTCTTGCGTCGGGAATGATTCCCTTGCCTTTTATTTCCTCGTATATGGTGGCCGCTCCTACCGAGTAGATGGAGCGATACCCGGCGGTCAGGTCCTCCCTGTATTGCTTTCGTGTGGCCTTCATTTACGGGTCATTTGGATCACCCCACCGCGGGTCCGTGGCGGGCGTTTTCTTGGCCGAGTTGCCGAAATGTTTCTTCTTCTTTTTCTCTTCGGACATCGGTTTCTGTCATCGGCCTTGGTGAATTTTCTAACTTGGGGGTTTCAAATGAGCCTCATGAGAGCTAAAAATTGACTGATGCACTCGTCGGTGTTATGGCCTGGCGATCGATGGTAGTCGCAATATCGTTCTTTGTCCAACTGGTTTTTTGGATTTTCCACCGATCTTGCGTCGGAAATGATTCCCTTGCCTTTTATTTCCTCATATATGGTGGCTGCTCCTACCGAGTAGATGGAGTGATACCCGGCGGTCAGGTCCTCCCTGTATTGATTCGTGCGGCCTTCACTTACGGGTCATTCGGATCACCCCACCGCGGGTCTGTGGCGGGCGTTTTCTTGGTCGAGTTGCCGAAATGTTTCTTCTACTTTTTTCTCTTCGAACGTCGATTTCTGTCCTGTGAGGTGAATACGATGTCTGGCACCGACATGAATTCCTCCGAGATCACATGGTTTTGGGCTCTAAACAAAAATTACGTGGAATGTGTTGGGTTTATTCTGGCAAAGCGTCCATCTAAACATCGATTTTAGCTTCAGCTCCGGAATTGCGGATACAAGAAGAGTCTCGGGGTGGCAAGGCTCCATGTTCTGAACACGTTCATTGAAGCGTGCGATATACTCCTTCCGACTCTCGTCATCCTTCTGAACGATGTTGGTTATCGATTCTTTAGGGATCAGACAGACCTGGGCTCCGATGAAGTGGGAGCGAAAAGCCGATCTGAGCTGGCCCCAACGTTGGATGGACTGAGCGGGCAGGGAGTAGTACCATTTCTGGGCTTTTGGCCCCAGAGTTAGGGAAAACATGAGGCACCTCAAAGCGTCAGTGGCCCCGTGCAGGTCCATCCATGAGATATAGTGGCTGAGGTGAGCGTCGTGGTCCGACGTACCGTCATAAAGGCCGATTTGTGGGACCTTGGCCTTTCCAGACAGCGGCTATAGAGTCAACCTCGGCGCCAACGGCGAGTCTACTTCCACGTAAACGTGGCCTGGTTCTTGAGTGCGCGGGTTGGGTGGCGATCTCTTCCTTGTGGCCTGCAAGGTCTCGAGTTCAGCCACTCTTTTTCTCAAGGCTTCCATTTCGAGGTTTTCTCACCTGGTTGACCGAACTCTCTCTATCTGATGTCGGAGGTCGGCGGAGTTTTCCGTTTGTCGAAACAGAGGTCTAGCGACATCTGTTTCTCTCCTAACGTGTCCAGATTGGCTCTCTGCCGTCATTTCTTGCAGGTTATCTTCCCAGGGGTTTGCCGTTTGAACAGGCTGTCGGCGAGTGTTGCCATCCCGAGGCTGGGACGTCGCATGGGACCGAGTTTAGTTGTTCACACCCCCTTGCAGT